GGCTCGGGGGTTGGAGTCACAACACTTTATAGGTAATTACCAGCACCTTGAATCTCACCCGGAGGGCAACTGGTAGCCAATGCAAGTCCTGCAGGAGGGCTGTAACATGAGAGTGTCGGGACACTCCCATCACTACCCGCGTGGCCGCATTCTGCACCAGCTGAAGCCTCCAAGTGGTCTTCAGGGGCAGCCCCATGTAGAAAGTGCTGCAGTAGTCGATCCGGGAGGTGATAAGTGCATGAGTGACTGTGCGTAAGGCATCACAGTCCAGGTAGGGGCACAACTGGTGCACCAGACGAATCTGGGCAAATGCCCCTGTGGTCATGGTCATAACATGATCTTCCAGAGTCAGCCGTGAATCCAGGAGGACGCCTAAGTTGTGCTCCCTATCAACAGGGGACAACACCTCACCCCCTATAACCAGCGATGGAATATGCTGGTACCCACAGCCACTCTGATTTGGCAGGGTTGAGCTGAAGCCTGTTCCTCCCCATCCAGACTATACCATTTCCAGGCACCAGGACATCATGTCGAGGGCATAACTGGGCTGATTTGGGGTGGATATAAAAAGTTGGGTATCATCGGCATACTGATGATACCCCACCCCAAAACCATGGATGATCTCCCCCAGCGGCTTCATATAGATGTTAAACAGAAGGGGAGAGAGGACCAACCCCTGAGGAACCCCACAAGTGAAGGGCCTCGGGGCAGACCTCTGTCCCCCCGCCAACACCGCTTGCGAACACCCGGAGAGGTAGGAGAAAAACCACTGCAGAACAGTGCCTCCCACTCCCAACCCCTCAAGGCATCGCAATAGGATACCATGGTTGATGGTATCAAAAGCCACCGAGAGATCTAATAGGACCATGACAGAGGAATATCCCTTGTCCCGAGCCCTCCAGAGATCATCCACCAGTGTGACCAATGCCGTCTCCGTGCTGTACTCAGGCCTGAAACCTGACTGGCCTAAAACCCGACTGGTATTTGCATCTATGTTACATTTTAGCTGCTTTATTTTGTGTTTGTGCTCTAAAGGATGTGTTATTTTAATGCTGATTTACCAGAATTCATACTCTTATTACATTGCCTACTATCTTCCCTTTAAACTTTGAAGAAAATATTGTTGAATGAGGGAATGAATGTTTTCACTTGGGTACCTGATTTCTTTCTTTCTTCTTTTCCATTGTAGCTAAACCAATTTATGAGAGGGGTCTCGTTCAACAATAGTGCTGGGCAAAAGGTTTCTTTCAACCAAAATGGAGAATTGGAGACTGGATTTGATATTATGAATTGGATCACATTCCCCAATCTATCGTTTCTGAGAGTCAGAGTTGGAGGGATGGAAATCATGGATTCCCAGGAAGCATTATTCACCATTGATGAGGCTGATATTGTATGGCCAAGGAGATTTAACCAGGTATGGTTAGTTCCATTTTAGCTCGTAGACAAATAGCTTTCTGTCATTCCTCAAGTTGTCTTATCTTCAAAGTCCAGCGCAGAAATTAGATTCAAATGCAAAATATTTCAAAAACTCAAAGATTATTAAATATTCTACAGACCAATCTGGGGAGCGTTACACTGTATCTCTGCTCTTGGATGCCTTCTAGGTTATATTTGTGAATGGAGAGATCAGAGTATTTAAGATGTAGAATTGATGTATGATTCATATGATGAATCTGCATATAGATGGGGGGGTTGAAAACTAGCCTAATGGTGCAACCGGAACAATCTGGAACTGAACACACTCAAAACTGTAGAAATGGTGGTAGACTTAAGGAGAAACCCACCCATACTACCACCTCTCACAATACTAGACAACACAGTATCAACAGTAGAGACCTTCAAATTTCTAGGTTCTACCATATTGCAAGATCTAAAATGGACAACTAACATCAAGAACGTCATCGAAAAAACACAACAAAGAATGTTCTTTCTGTGCCAACTCAGGAAGCTCAAACTGCCCAAGGAGCTGCTGATCCAGTTCTACAGAGGAACTATTAAGTCTGTCATCTGTACCTCTATAACTGTCTGGTTTGGTTCTGCAACCCAACAAGACAGACACAGACTTCAGAGGATAATTAGAACTGCAGAAAAAACAATTGCTACCAACCTGCCTTCCATTGAGGACCTGTATACTGCACGAGTCAAAAAGAGGGCTGTGAAAATATTTACAGACTCCTCGCATCCTGGACATAAACTGTTTCAACTCCTACCCTCAAAACAACGCTATAGAGCACTGCGCACCAGAACAACTAGACACAAGAACATTTTTTCCCCGAACACCATCACTCTGCTGAACATATAATTCCCTCAACACTGTCAAAATATTTACTAAGTTTGCGCTACTATTAATCTTCTCATCTTCTCATTGTTCCCATCACCCATCTCCTCCCACTTATGACTTTAGGACTGTAACCTTGTTGCTGGTATCCTTATGATTTATATTGATATTGTTTCCTGATTGCTTATTTGTACCCTATGACTATTATTAAGTGTTGTACCTTATGATTCTTGATGAATGTATCTTTTCTTTTATGAACACTGAGAGCATATGTACCTGTTGTGGCCCGCCAGCATCTTATGCTGGTAGCTGATTCCGACAGCGAGGAGGCTGGTGTGGTGATTCGCCAGCAGCCTGTGCAGCTGGCACCCGAGTCAGACAATGAGGAGGCTGGAGAAGATTTGGTGCCAGAAGTGGGGATTCAGCCAGGGCCTTCAGAACCTCCAGAAGCTGCCATAAGTGAAGGGGAAGAAGAGGAGGAGCCTCTTCTCAATGCAAGGGCACGCAGAGCTGCCAAAAGGAAGGAATGGCTCCTCAGGAAGATGTCTCCTCGAGAGTAAGGCTTGGGGCTAATTGGTCACTCCCCTAGCCTATTTAAGGAATGACGACAACTGAGGCAATTTGCAGAAAACAACTTTGTTCATATTCCTTCGCATATTGATTCCAGAAACGTCTGATCGGCTCTTTGATTCTCTCTTGTCATTTTTCCTGCAAATTGCTTCTGGGCATTCTGCCAACCACAGTAAGCATACAGTTATCTGAAAGACTGTGCCTCAGAATTGAGTTATTATTCCTTGGACTCTTGTCGGCTCTTAATGAAGTTAAATTAACAGTCTTTGTTCAGAAAAGACTGATTTAAACTGTACTTGTGTTTGAACAACTACTAAGAAAGCTCATTATTAGTTCTCAATTAGTAAACTAAGGTTTGTACAGAGTTTGTGTGTGCTGCGTTCTTTGTGGTCCGTAGCTGGGGCAGAACAGCACCAAAGACAAGTTCCTTGTGTGTCTAATCACACTTGGCCAATAAAAATTCTATTCTATTCTATTCTATTCTATTCTATTCTATTCTATTCTATGAAATAAAACAGTGGGTTTTCCTATTCAGCAGGAGCAAGATGTAGAAAAGGAAGGTGATGCCAAGGATATTGCAAAGATTTTGGATTTTTTAGATGTCGAGCCTGAAACTGACATATTTTATTGTAGCCTTTGTCTATTCTTTTCTTAGCATTCTTTCAACTTTCTGCAAAGAAATTTAACAGTGCTTCAGGCTTGCCACATTGTAGCAGTAGGAAGGCGGCAGTGGTGGGTTTCAAAATCTTTTACTTTCTGTGGGCATGGCATGGTTGGTGTAGCATGGCTTGATGGGTGTGGCAGTGGAAGGATACTGTATAATCTCCATTCCCACCCCACTCCAGGGGAAGGTTACTGCAAAACCCCCATTTCCTCCCGATCAGCTGGGACGCGGGAGGCAGAGAATAGATGGGATGGGGCCAGTCAGAGATGGTATTTACTGGTTCTCTGAACTACTCAATATTTCCACTACCGGTTCTCCAGAACTGGTCAGAACCTGCTGAAACCCACCTCTGGAAGGGGGTTTGTAGAGATAAGGGGGAATGTTAGGGCTAGTTGACATTCCTTCCCATGGGAACTGAGAAGGTGCCTGCAGTTGGCGGAAGGTGTAGCTTGGAGTCATTGGACTGATGGACTGAAAACTGATTGGAGAGTGTGACTATGGGGGGAAGTTTCAAACTTTTGCTTTTTACTGGGTGTAATTCCGGAGTCTGGCCAGAGTCTTGCCAATTTGATATGTTCCTAATAAATAGACTTTGAAGAAAAATGGATGACTTGGATTTTTATTCTGGGGCCATATTTCTTGGAACCTTGACAGTAGAGATAACAGTGGTCTATCTAGCATTCAAAAATAACCTACCTACCTTTTAGTTGTTATTTAATGCTGCTTAGTATTGAAAGTTGTATCGTTGAGCACTTTCTTCAAATGAAATAATCCTGCTCTCTATTGAAGAAACTAACGCAGAAGATAACCACAGGTGAAGGCAGAGAAGGAGAGCATTATGACTCTGCTCAGTATTGTGTTACCACTAAGTGCAAATTTTTAAAAAGAAAAACATATTCTCCTTTTCTTGAACAGGTCCAACCTCTATCTTTGTGTAATAGTAAGTGCCATTCAGGTTATGCTAGGAGCAAGATAGAAGACAAACCATTTTGCTGCTATAATTGTCTACAATGTCCACATGGGAAGATTTCCAACCAAGATGGTGAGTTCTTGCATATTGCTAAAATATATGTAAAATATATATATACCTAAAATAAAACTGTGAGTCAAAACAGCAATGAAAACTCTAGATTAATACTCTAGATTAAAAATTCCTGTTAACAGATGGAAAGAGTAAAAGGTAGCAAATTGATCAGCATTCAGTTTATTGAATGGATTTCAAATATCAAATGATACCAAACAATGTATCTTGGAGCAAAGGGTTTTCAAACAGGAAATCTACTAGTTTTCATCTGTTATGCAACAGGTTTTTGTTCTTAATACATGGTGCTCAGTTTTTATTCTTTCACTGCAATTTGTACATTATGAATTTCTTTTGTAGACATGGATGATTGCTTTCAGTGTCCAGAAGATCATTATGCAAATGAGAACCATGATTTGTGTCTTCCAAAGACTGCAACATTTTTGATGTATGAAGAAACTCTGGGGATCATTTTGGCTACTTCTGCTCTTTTCTTTTGTTTGGTCACGATTGGAATCCTTTGGATCTTTATTAAGCATGAGGACACTCCCATAGTCAAAGCCAACAACCGGAATCTCACCTATGCTCTCCTTATTGCTCTCCTCTTGTCTTTTCTTTGTTCATTATTATTCCTTGGAAAACCTGACAAAGTGACATGTCTTCTTCGTCAAACTGCCTTTGGGATCATCTTCTCTGTGGCCATTTCTTGTGTCTTGGCTAAAACCATCATTGTAGTTCTGGCTTTCATGGCCACTAAGCCTGGGTCTCAGATGACCAGATGGGTGGGAAAAAGATTGGCCATGTCCATCGTGTTGGGCTGCAGCTTAATTGAAGTAATTATTTGCACTATATGGGTGATAACCTCTCCCCCATTCCCAGATGCTGACACAAATTCAGGGGCAAAAGAAATCTTTCTGCAATGCAATGAAGGTTCAGTCTCTATGTTCTACTGTGTCTTGGGCTACATGGGCTTCCTTGCCATTATTAGCTTTACAGTGGCTTTCCTAGCAAGAAAATTACCTGATGTTTTCAATGAAGCCAAGTTTATCACCTTCAGCATGTTGGTCTTCTGCAGTGTGTGGTTGTCCTTTGTTCCAACATACCTGAGCACCAAGGGAAAATATATGGTTGCTGTGGAGATCTTCTCCATTATTGCTTCTAGTGTTGGGCTACTGATTTGTATTTTTTTCCCTAAATGCTACATCATTGTTTTTAGGCCTTCTCTAAATAGCAAACAACAGCTAAGAAGACAAACCCAGAACAATGCATAAAATTATACATATCACGATTTCAGATTGTCTGTAGGAAAAGAGAATCATTTAATCTTCTACTTCAATATCACCTAGAATGACACCCTTTCAAATCGTCAGGTTTAATTTTCAGTTGACAAGTAAAGTATTTCCATTAACATACCATTTACTACATTTGTGTTGATGCATTAAATGTATTGTGCAATATTGTCCAAGATTTTCCTTCTGGTTCCCTACAAGGTCTATATAAAGCAAAAACAGAGACTATCACCTGGATAGTTAAATTGGACATTCAGTTATAAGGCCACTGCCATACCCCATAGAGGTTTTATATATAATTAAGTGGACTATGAATATGTGTTTACTTCTTTTCTGTCATGTTCTCATCATACACTAAATAATAATAATAATTTGTGTTGACCAGTAATTTTTTTCAATTTTTTTCAAAGAATCTGAACTGATATTCATGAATAAAATTCTGTAAAATTATCTTCAATCTTTCATCAAAATCATGATAAACAGTTTGTGGACATTATTCAATAAAGACATTCATCAATAGTTTCATATCACCATTTTTTTTATCTCCATGCATCAACAAGCTCCTAATTGTCCTCTGAGGGGAAAAAAAAAACTTTTGTAATTTACTGTAGGAAGTTACCACCCATCCCTCTCCTAGGAAAATGAAATATTTTAGGAAATATTAAAAGGGCAGAATATTTCCCCTAAAAGGGAGGCAGAAACTCAGCCCCCACCACCACCTTTATCAATGGGCCATTAAGGCCTGGGCCAGTCTATTCTACATAACAAGCATCTACCTCCTTCAGGCAGAGCCATAATAGGAATCCCTAAGCCCTTTCATTACATCGCCACCCAGCAAGGCTCAACCAAACTTGGACTCAAAACACAGCCTACAGAATTGCCCATGCCTGACCCCATGGGTGTCTGACCACCAATCAGAATACAAGCTCAAAGACAATGCCCAACAGAGGGCATAAAACAAAGGCACTCTCAGATATTGCCCCTATTCTGCTCAGAAACTCAAGCCATTTGATCCTGCTCAGGAACTCAAGCCATGTGATCCTGTCAGGAACTCAAGCCATGTGATCCTGCTCAGGAACTCAAGCCATGTGATCCTGTTCATCAATAAACCTTCTTTCCAAGCAATTTCTTTGAATCCAGTGTCTTTTTCCCCAAACCCAGAAGGATATTTCTTCCAACATTACCATGTTGGACTGGGGGTGGGAGGCACCATGTTGCGGTGGTTCTCCTCCTATCTCTCTGACCGGTCGCAGTCTGTGTTGGCAGGGGGGCAGAGGTCGACCTCGAGACGCCTTGCTTGCGGGGTGCCGCAAGGGTCGGTCCTCTCGCCGCTCCTGTTCAACATTTATGTGAAGCCGCTGGGTGAGATCATCCGTGGTTTTGGGGTGCGATGCCATCTGTACGCTGATGACACTCAGCTGTACATTTCCACCCCAGACCACCCCAATGATGCCCTCGAAGTGATGTCCCAGTGTCTGGAGGCCGTGCGGGTCTGGATAGGGAGGAACAGGCTTCGGCTCAACCCTTCCAAGACCGAGTGGTTGTGGATGCCGGCGTCCCGGTATAGCCAGCTGGTGCCATCGCTGGCTATTGGGGGCGAGTCACTGACCCCCACAGAGGGGGCTCGCAACTTGGGCGTCCTCCTGGACACACGGCTGTCTTTAGAAGAGCATATGACGGCCATGGCCAGGGGGGCTTTTTATCAGGTTCGCCTGATACGCCAGTTGCGCCCCTTTCTGGATCGGGACTCCTTGTGCACAGTCACTCATGCCTTGGTTACGTCACGCCTGGACTACTGTAACGCTCTCTACATGGGGCTCCCCCTGAGGAGCACCGGAGGCTCCAGCTGGTGCAGAATGCGGCCGCGCGGGGTGATTATGGGAGCGACGTGGCGCTCCCACGTAACACCTCTCCTGCGCGAGCTGCATTGGCTCCCGGTGGTCTTCCGGGTGCGCTTTAAGGTGTTGGTTCTCATCTTTAAAGCGCTCCATGGCTTAGGGCCAGGGTATTTGCGAGACCGCCTGCTGCTACCGATAACCTCCCACCGGCCAATACGCTCTCACAGAGAGGGCCTCCTCGGGGTGCCGTCGGTCAGGCAATGTCGGCTGGCGGCCCCCAGGGGGCGAGCCTTCTCTGTGGGGGCACCCGCCCTGTGGAATGAGCTGCCTCCTGGAATACGATTGATCCCGGACCTCCGGACCTTCCGTAAAGCCCTGAAGACGTTTTTATTTCATCAAGCCGGCCTAGCCTAAATGGTCTTTAATTGGGATTTTAAATTTTATGGATTTATGGAATTGAGGTTTTAAATTTGGGTAGCCAATGATTTAATTCTTTTAATTATCTTAACTTTTGCATTTGTATGTTTTTAATTTTGGCTGTTCACCGCCCTGAGTCCCTTCTGGGAGAAGGGCGGTATACAAATTAAATTTAAAAAAAATATGTATATTTTTAATATTTGTCTCAGAATTTTGATTTGTTGTGTGAGAACCAATCTATTCCAGTATCCCAGGAGACACCAATTTTAATATGCAAAATCTAGTAATTTTCCCATAAGTACTTTATAAAACACTGTTTCATCTTCATTTGGGGTCTGAAAAGTGCTTTTTCAAGAGGAAACTGGATTTTCTGTTTTTTCTTTGAAGACGTTTTCCTTTTCATCCTAGGAGCTTCTTCTCATCCAAGAAGCTTCTTCAGCTCTGAGCTTCAGAGATGGGGAAGCTTCTTGGATGAGAAGTGAAACATCTTCAAAGAAAAAACAGAAAGTCCAGTTGCCTTTTGAAAAAGCACCTTTGGTAACAACCATGACCTGGATGACTGAGAACCTCCATAGACTTCATTTGGGGTATGAACTCCCAATATCAAAGTCTTAATGCTTGTGGATTAATTTTCACCACAACATATCTGCAATTATTATACTTGAGTATTTAACAGAATTGATATGTTATGGATTCCATTGTCTGGGCAGCTGCATCTGGTGGCCGTAGGTGGCAGGCCATTCCTGCTCTATGTCCCACATTGTGGTGCCTCTCAAGCAAGACAGACTTGCATTATTAAATTGTGTTTCTCTACTGGAGTTTGCCATCAAGATCAGTATTCTTTCTACCTGTGAAAATGAAGGTTGGCAATTTTGGGGGGTCTTCCAGGACTCATGAGATCTGCTTCTGAACAGCAGACAGAAATCATGATAAAAAGGACCCAGATTCAGTTGGTGCCCAACAGCAGCTTTAGCTTGTAGATGTGGTCTTGACCGCTTATATGTAGATCACTTAGGCAAGTGATAGCAATGTTTGTTATTTAAGGATGCATTTAAAGATTATGATACAGCTTATTCAGAATGCAGCAGTGTTGCAGTTTTAATGGATGCTGTAGAACAGGGCTCTGACAGCCAAAATGGGCCACAGGGGGCCATGTGCAGTCTTAATGTGACCCATTTTCAGCCTCCTACAGCAGTCTGCCAGTCAACAAAAGCCTCATGGGGCTCTGCATGGCCCATTTTTGGCCGGGAGTGTGCTGCAGGATGTGGTGGAGGCTGAAAATGAGCTGCTGAAATGAGGCTGAAAGTGAGGGCCTTGTGGAGCCTTCGTGAGGCCCACTTTTGGATGGCAGAGTGCTGCTGGAGTCCAAGGATGCTGAAAATGGACCATGTGGGGGCCTTATGCAGGCTCCGCATGGCCCATTTCAGATGGAAGAGTGCTACAGGAGGCCATGGAGGTCAAAAATGAGGCAAGAGGCTGTCTAAGCTGAAAATGGGGTGTGGGAGGCTGTGTGCTAGGCCCCCACACCCAGTTTTGGCCAGCAGGATGTTGCAGGAGGCATCCATCCCATCTGCCCCCAGCTCCCCGCCCCCGCCGCCAGCCCACGGAGGAAAACTACAATGCTGATCCGGCCCGGTGGAATTGCTCTCAGAAGGACACCATGAGGCTCTTCGCGCCGATGCAGCTGCTCACTGCAGGATGTTGCACGGTGTGTTTAGTAATTGTGCATACAAGTGGCTCCACCGACACAATGAGCATCACAGCATTCTGCCAAGAGTGGCTCCATCAGCACAATGAGCATCTCTGTGTCCTGCTGGGAGCGGCTCCACTGTGGCTGCAGAAGAATTCGGGCAGTGGGGCAACAGGTGTTGGGGCATGGGAGGCCTGGCTGTGGTAGTCCTAAGGTAAGTGGGTAGTGGATGTGTGGGCCTCCAACCCCCCATCCCTGCCATAGTTTGATATTTACACCGGCGCCTTGCCCCACCTTGTACAACCAGATGGTGGGCAGGGCTCAACTGGGGCTTATTTTTGTGGTAAGGACTTGTTTTCAGGGAGGTCATATTTTCAGGGAAACATAGTATTCAGGGATAATCTAACCTAAATCAATCTCAAGATTTGGGGTGTAAACTTTGATTGGACTTTTGCTCACAAATAGACTGTATTTAGGGGAGCAACATTTCTGTTTTTAACGATTCTCCAGGTTTTTTTCTTTGCACATTATTCTCAAAAGAGGGCAAAATGCTTTTGGAATGGGTTTTGGAGTAAAACAAACCCTAAACTTTGACTTTGTGCTAACTCTTCTGTGAATTAATATCATAAACTTATTAACTAAAAAAAAATAAGCTATTTTTGTTTTAGCATTTGGGATATAATTCTTTTTTTATTGTCCTACAAAGTTTGTGAATTTTCCATTAGTTAGGATTCTTCACTTCCTCTCAATTATTACAAGCATTTTCATCTTTTGACTCCCACACTACAGAATCCTAAGGTTGATCTCTACTATTATTATTATTTATTATTATTTATTTGATTTGTATACCGCCCTACTCCCGAAGGACTCAGGGCGGTGAACAGACAAACAATAAAATACATAGATACAAAAATTTTAAAAAACAGATAAAATCGAATTAAATAGTTTTGGCCTTGACAAATTAAAACACCCCAATAATTTAAAACAGATTAAAATTTACATGTTAAAAAAGAGGGAAAGGATTAGGCCAAGCCCGCCTGGTGGAATAAAAAGGTCTTCACAGCACGGCGGAAGGTGCGCAGGTCTGGGATCCTTCATATCTCTGGGGGGGAGCTCATTCTAAGATGGCAAAAACATGTTTCTTGTTCAAGACTTCCCAGGACTTTGATTCCGAACTTGTTGTCTTTTTCTACTGCAATTATCACTCCCTATATTATTATTTTAACATTTCAACTTTAGGTCCTGAGGGAGTAGCTGAGCTATTATTTCAAGTAGAATTATACTGTACTTCATGAAAAAGAATTCGGAGATGGACAAATTGGCTTACAAAGAAATGCGGTTGTTAAAGTTGATGATATTTGCAGTATTGGTCATTGTGCTTTTACCTCAAATGATGTGCAGGATTCACAAGAGTAAATGCAGCAGCAGTGAC